TATTTTTTCAAAATTTGATTTAAAATCTGGTTATTGGCAGATTCAAATAGCCGAAAATGATATTTATAAAACGGCTTTTAATGTTCCTATGGGACATTATAAATGGAAGGTTATGCCCTTCGGTCTTAAAAATGCTCCCTCTGAATTTCAACAGATTATGAATGACATCTTTTATCCCTACAATAATTTTATTATTGTTTACATAGATGACATTTTGGTTTTCTCTAAAGACATTGAGAGTCACTTTAAGCATCTTAATATTTTCAAGACTCTTGTTATCCAAAATGGGCTAGTCATATCTAAACCTAAAATGTCTTTATTTCAAACTAAGATAAGATTTCTTGGTCATGATATTGAAAAAGGGACGATTATTCCTATCCAACGCAGTATTGYCTTTGGTGATAAATTTCCTGACCAAATTCTTGATAAGACTCAATTACAACGGTTTTTAGGAAGCCTGAATTATATTTCTGCTTATATTCAAGATTTAAGTCAATATACTTCTCTTCTTTATGATAGACTTAAGAAAAAATCTTGTTCTTGGACTGATAGTCATACTTTAGCAGTACAAGAGATTAAGAAAAAAGTTAAAAACCTCCCCTGTCTCATGCTTCCAAATCCCCTTTGGAACAAGATTGTTGAGACTGATGCCTCTAACTTAGGATATGGAGGTATTCTTAAACAAATTGATCCCATTTCTAAGCAGGAATTTCTTATTCGTTTTTATTCCGGCAAGTGGAAAAATGCCCAGCTCAACTACTCTGCTGTAGTTAAAGAACATTTTGCTATTGTTAAATGTGTTCTTAAATTTCAAGATGATTTATATAATCAAAAGTTTTTAATAAAAACTGATTGTAGCTCTGCTCAATTTATGTTTAAAAAAGATTTTAAGCATGATGTTTCTAAGCAGATGTTTGCCAGATGGCAAGCCCATCTTGCTCCTTTTGATTTTAATATACAACATATTAAAGGCAAAGATAATCATTTGCCTGATTTCTTAACCCGTGAATACCTTTCTTAATTTTCAGGTACCTTGGAGATCAATCAGATGTGTTGTGCATGAGCTCATATAGCTCTTACTCCTCTTATAGAGGAGCTGGCAGCTCTTCCCATGGAAGAGGCCGAGGTGGYAGACATTCCTCTAATAGAGGAAGAGGACATAATGTAATTGCCCAGATGGGTAAACAAAAGCTTATAGCTTCAGACTTATCACATGATAAGGAAAAAGATTTTCCAGGATTCTTGGGTGATATCCCAGAAGACCATCCTCTAGCAGAGGCATACCTTAATTATATTAAGGAGAAGAAAGCTAAAGAATCTTTGGCAGCTRCAAATTCTTTTGCCAATATTAGCAAGGAAGATTCCTCCAATTCTCAGTTTCATGAAACTGGTGAAAAAGAAGTTATACTTCTGCTCGAAGATAAAGATCTTCAATGGAAAGATAATCCTGATTTTATCCTACAAAGATATCTTCATAAGACATCTTTTGTTCATGGTTCATTGAGACAACGCCAATTTTATGAAGGCTTGCTTATTTCTACAAAATCTGYAGAAATCACTCATCATTCTTCTAATAGTAGAGATGAGGTAAATGRCAATTTTAATTTTTCAAAACTTGTCATCAAAAAGATTATATCTTTTGAAGAATGGGGTTTTTCCCCTCTTGCTGAGCGAGAATGGTTTTCACCCGCTCATAAATGCAATTTCAAGTTTAATTAYTGGGATTATATCCATGGTTTATCTAAAGTCCTACTTTATGATAACGAGAACAAAAGACATTCTTGGTTCTTGAAAATTTGTGAAAATTGCTTCCATTCACCAATACCTAATTGGTTCTTCTCTTGGTGGAAAAATTTTGGAACTAGTCCTTCTATTTTTCCAGATCATATGAAATCTTATATTAAAGATTGGATGTTATATTCTCCAACAGTCAATGACTGTAAAAAACTCTATCAAATTGATAGTAGTAATGTTTGCCTTTTCTTTATAGAATTTGGCATTCCATGGATTTGGAAATGGAAGCCAATATTTGGCTATGATCATTATATGATCCCTTGTCTCAAGCGTCAAGGACTCTCAAAATATTGGGAGAAACTAGATCGTATGTGTCCAAACTCCTCTTCTATTGAAGGAGCTGATCTTTATGATGCCATCGTCAAGAAAATTCAAATTTATAAGAAAGAATTCGAAGATCGCCAACAGACCACTACCAGTTCGGATATTCCGAGTCCCTTCCAACAACTCTCCCAGAAATACGCTGGTACTTTATCYAAGGACGAGATAGTTGATCTCTACATAGAGAATATGAAAAAGGATCTGCATCAAAATCTTTCTCAGCCTTCCGATAGTTCCATGAACTCTGATATGCAGCAAGATGCTCAAAGTGTCGAAGGCTCCGAAGAGCTAGTCGTCTCCATTGATGAAGCATTAGAGTCTCTCAAAGACTCCATAAAGCAAAGTAAGTAGCTTTGATAGTCTTTTTGTCAAAAGTTCTTTACTTTCGGTCTTAGTAGCCGACAACTTTTATAAAGTTGCTTTTTCTTTTAGAAAAGAAACTTTTGCTTTAATAAAGCAGTTTCCTTTTTAGCTGTATAGCCAGCTGTCCTTAATAGGATTTTTATTTCTATATTTATAGAGAGGCATGTCTCTCTTATTCTTCAGAGTTTTCTGAGGAGTGTTTTCAGAATTTTCACTTTTCTTTCCAGTATTGTAATCCGTGTGTGCAAATAAAGAAATAAGACGAACAAGCTTGCCGACAGTGGTTTAAAGCTTTTGTAAGTTCCTTGTTCTTACTTTTATTTATTCTTCCAGTTTCTTGYCGCCTTCATGGCTGGCTAATTTAGGACTATGAGTTAAAACAAWTTTTGATCTGATATTTCAATAGATTTACATGGAATGGTTTATATGTTTATGATTTAGTAAAAATCCTCTAAACCGCTAAGTCTACCTCTGAGATCTCTGAGACTGGTTATCACCTGTTGAGGCCAAGAGAGCCGTTTAGGGTATTTATAACCTTGGTTTGAGATTTGAGGCAAGTTTAGTTGTTTTAGATTGTTTTTGTTAGATTTTGGGACATAGAATTTCTTAATTTGAATATGCATATGCTATAGTTAGATGTAATATTTATAGATTTCACTTTTTTGTTGTAACCAAACATGCTATGAAGTAATATTTATAGATCGCACATGGCATGTGAATTTCTTTCTTACTTGTAAACACTATGAGATATATATATATATATATATATATATATATAGAGAGAGAGAGAGAGAGAGAGAGAAAGAGAGAGCGATTAAATGCAAATTAATTATATTTGTATAAATTATGTAAACTATTTTCATCTGTCAATTTTATTGTTTAATCTTATGAAATTGTTTAATTTTATGAAATTTTTTCATGAAATTGTTTAATGTTATGAATTTTTTTCATGAAATTGTTTAATCTTATTAAATTGTTGTCTATTTTTTTTTTTTTTTGATGAAGTTGTTTTATATATGGTTATAAAATTGTTTCATATAATACTTATGAAATTTTAATGAAACTGTTTAATGTATTTCTCTAAAATTAATATAATGAATAACATCTATGATTAACGACCTTCACAATAAAAATGATTAATCAACCTCTTATAATTACAAAAAAAATGAACAAAATGAAAAACTATGGTTTGTATTGTTTGTACAAATAATGTGGTTTGCAAAGTAAACCTCTTATACACACACACACACACATATATATATATATAGGGTTGGGTTTACGTGAGACCAACTTGTTTTCGTGAGACCATTTTTTTACACTTGAAACTTCACAACAAAACGTTGTGAAGATAAATACAAGCCGCACTTTCACAGCAAAAACACTGTGAATGTTACATTCACAATGTTTTGTTGTGAAGTTTCAAGTGTAAAAAAATGTTCTCACCGGTCTCATGAAAACAGACTAGTCTCACGTAATCTCAAGTCTCTCTCTCTCTCTCTCTCTCTATATATATATATATATATAGCTATAGATGTATAATTATGGTGTCCAATTTCGAATTCTCGATCGATATGCATGTGGTTATAGTTGCTAATTTTAGACTGTAGATTGATGTGATATACAAATTTTGTTTATTTAATTTCGTATTGTTGGTCGATGAAGCTTTTATGTTTGTAAAATAATTAAAAGGTTATTTTAGGCCATGTTTGCTGACGAGATGATAAGCTAGTTGTTGGCTAACAGACTAACTATTAGCTGTTAAATTAGTTATATTTGGTAAAATTGGTTGATAAGTGATAAGTTGTATGTCATTATAAAATGACCTAAAACGACATGTGGAGATATTAATTGGGAAAATATAAGAAGCGCAGTTACGAAAAATAGTGGAAAAAACTCTGAATTTTATTTAAACACTGCTTGAAATGACGTTCAAAAAAGTAAGTTTATATCTGATGAAACGATTTTTTTTCAATAAACGCAAAAATAAACTAGCTTATGCTTACCTGAATGTCACTTTATCAATTTCAAATCAAAATCAGATTGTTCTTTTTTAAGTATATAATATTTATATACGGTAAATAGAACAAATAAACTCACACACTCTCCTCATCTTTAGAGAGGTATGAAACTTTGACCTTCTAGGAGACCAATGACTCACATACTGCTAGGCCCAAAGGCCCTTTGGTGAGATTGTTTTCTTATGGCAATCTATAGTGGGAAGTTGACCCACATAATCATATACTCTCTTCATCCTAAATATCTGTATGTATTTCTATCTTAGTTTGTTTTAAAATAAGTGTTCACTTTCCCAATTTACCTTTAATTATTATTAAGGGTAAAAAGGTCATTTAGTTGATTAAAAAAATGTAATAATTACACATTTTAAAAAATACATCGTTTTTATTGTAGGCATTT